CCTTCGTAAAAAGCACTTTACTGCCGCGAATTTAATAATGAAAGACCACTACAATCCTCGCCACCCCCTCCTGTTTAACTCCAAATTGTTTATACTCTATAGGTATTATACAGTCCACACGCAATCGATACTTAGAAAGTTTTGACACGTTGTCATCCCGGGTTGTTTGACGTATTGTGACCACGAACCTCTGAGAGTCTTAATAAATTAGAGGTAAATTTTGCTACTCCTCTGATTATATGCTTGTAACGACACACACCACACACACACACACACACACACATACACACACGACACACGCACCAGTTTTGAGTCCTAAATGAGTCCCGACAAATGTGAGCTGAAATATGTCGATGTGGTAACAAACAAAGGTGACCATCGCGCAGAGAAATCGTCGCGCGCGGTTGAGTTTCAGGACTCTCCCACTCCTTCTACTTGCTTTTTCTTTAGCTGTTTAGCTGGGAGGACGAGTGAGGAAGGACATTTTATTCCAGGTCGGTGTGTAACGAGTACCACGGTGTCCGTAACGGTGAAATATTGACAGTCTATTCGTACATTTACAATTAGATGTCCTGCCGCCTAGGTATCGTGGCTCAGAGGTGGACGTACCGCCGTCGGTACGGAGTAGTTGATATGACATCCAGTGGAACCTATGCTCAGGTTTTTGTTGAAGTTGTCTGTGTGTCCGGTCCCGCGACTGCCCCGCGGAAACGTAGGTATTCTAGACTGCTGCGACTAACGGACTTTAAATACAAAGCCGACGTATCCAAATGTCTATCGATCTAAAAATTTAAAATCTTTAAAATAAAAAATAATGTTAGTTGTACCCCTTCTCCCCCGCGGGCCAGACGGATACCGGGCCGCGGGTGACGGCCCAGATAATACGAAAAATCTTCAAGGAATCACACGTATCTGACAATATATATTTATCTGCATCACAGGCACTGCAGTGGGTATCCTAAGACGTCTCAACGGCTCTCGGATTTCATTCGCCACAGCCGGTGATGCCGCAGCCTGTTGCATTGCAGTCTCAGATTGCAGGTCAGACGAGGTCGGACCGTAGGTTCTATTCCCTTTTCTCCGCCTGGGATCCGCCTCGACTCGGCCCTGGAAAACGACTTCCTCCCCGGGTTCGAGGCTAGTCCCCCCCCGGACCGCCCTAGTATGGTTTGGTCACCATAGCCCCACCAAAGATATTTTCCACCAACCGCCACTGATAGACGGCATTAAGGGTCCGCGTGTTTGTGTTTTGGCTACACACTTTAGTATACACTATACCATGTCAAGGGGGATTTACAAAGTTACAAACAAAAACAAACCTTACACCTTCACCTCAATGTTTTCTACAGGCTTTATCCAATAAGAATATTTTTTGAAGCCCAAAATGTCCCTAGTCAAGCACAAGGGTTCATAGTCCAGTCTTTGCTTTTGCAGAAGACAATGGGTTTACGATATGAGCGCTCACCCAAATCATTCACATCACTCGTGCTTGTTAAGGCACAATGCTGCAGTGGCATCCGCTGTCACTGAATAGATTACAAATCAGCTTGTGAGCGCACAGTCTCTGCTCTCCTTTAGTCTCCATGCCTTTACAAATGCATAATCCAAAAGTTTGTTCTGTATAACATCATCAGCCACAAAAGAATGGCAATGTAATGCTATTAAATATACCTTATCCTCGTAAAAATGGGTAATACAAGGACATGAAGAACATTTTAAACAAATTACAGAAAACATGAAAGTCTAACAACCACTGGTAATAAGGAAACCGTATCTTTAATATAAGCTCTGTTCCATCAGTCATACCATTCTTTCATTCAAATATTTGTTTCGTTTAAGGGTGTGCTCGGATTTGGTATAAGCAAGTCTAGTTTATTAACAATAACTACAATTAATGATAAGTTATCTAAATAAAATCATTAGGAAATGGATAATGGTAATAGTAATATGCTGGTTTTGTAATTCTGTTGATTTTTTAAATTTTGGTCAGAGTCCAGATCTATACAGAGATTTCTAACATTGTTTGATGTGTTGAACATTAGGGTTTTGAGTTTAGTGCTAACATCCTCCCTTTCCTTTTTGGTACCAAAAATAATTGTTTCTGTTTTGTATTTACAGAACATTTTGACCAATTGCCGTTTTTTCAGAGACTGTAATGGTCCACAGTGGTCAGGGCTTATTGTAATGTAGATCTGAGTATGAGCTGCATAATTATGCTATGATTAGCTGATGTATATGTTGAAAGATAAAAGCCAATAGAGTCTTACTATTACAAGAGGAAGCTGGTAGCTCTGTTGGTTGACTTGGAGAGTCCAGTTAGCTTGATGCTAACTGAATATTGCTTGTGTTGTTAGGAGCTCTTGCCACTGCATGCTAACTTGTGGATGTCTTGAAGCAGTCCTGAAGGGAGAACAGCGCAAAAAGACAACGTCAACTTGAGGCTTTTCTTCTCATCATGGTCAGTTTTCACAGCAAGGTTTAAACAAATTGAATATCAGGTAGAAGGAAATGTTGAGAGTTAAGACATCGGGAAATAGAATCCAATGACTCAATTAGCATGATCCCAATGAATCAAGTTGAATTCGTACTACAGTATCCTCTCATTTTCAAACAGTTACATTGTTTTCAGCAAGCCCTCTTCAAAACCTAAATTTGATTGGCGGAATATCAAAAGAAGACGAAAACTAACGCCCAATATGGGTAAAGGTTTCTCCTTGTTTTTATTTGTATGTTCTCAGAATTCTAGTGACCGAAAACTTTGAATGTGATTCCTTTTTGACAAACAGCGTCAGTCTAACCATGTTCCATCTCCTATCCAAAAAACAAACAAGAATGTGAGAAGATAACTTTGATTTGGCACCTCTCAGAGTCAAGACGGATGTCAGAACTAATTATCCTTGTGTCTCAACTTTGAGGGAAACATTTGATGTGACTCACTGTTGGAATAAGAATCCTTTTGTCCACCGCTGAGAGTGTGTCTGCATTTAACCTCTGGCATTAACCACATCTTTCTCCAGGCTCCACTCACTTCTGCTGTGCTCCTTGCCTCACAAGTTATGGGTACCATTAAAAATGCACACACCACCTCTCACTCACAAACACAGTGTAAACCCTGGATGGGTATATGTGCCATTAAATCTTATGGGCCAGTGCCTTGATCCAAGGACGAGCCTGCTAGCTTTTTTACTGCTCAATATGTACCAGCCAGCCAAGTGTGAGGCTGTATCATCGCTGCCATCTCTGCTATCATTAAACACGCTGATATAAACTGGGTCACCAGGAGTACAGGGTTTAAATGACTATAGATAAGGGTAACCAATCCAGGCACCCTCTAAGTCATAGCCCCGCCCATTTTTGGGTGGAAACATTTGCGGCCATTTGACTGGCGGTAAATACGGAGTTGGGAAGGAGCCCAAATACGATGGTCCGAAAGACAAACAATTAAACAACCTCATTGGAGATCGATGATCGGCAGAGGCGCGGGAAGGTATTTTGAGTGGGGGTGCTGAGGTGCTGGACTCCAGTGAACACTATTACGGGCACTATAGAGCAAGCACAAAG